CTACCTCAGTATACGAGGACTGCTCAGGATGAAGATTTCAAGTGTATAGGCCTGCGGCAATATATCCAGCAAAGCCATCCCATAATAATGAGACTTTCTCCTGTTCATCAATTGGACCAATTGTGTCACACAAATCCTCAAAGTAACCAACACATTCTCGAACTCTATGCTTCCCTTGACTACAACGGTGCAATTTACATTGTTGCTCAGTTCGGAAATTCAATGGGAAAATATAGTCATAAAGTCATATGAAGAATTGTTGAAGTGTCCAATTTTTGGGGTATGTATCGAGTGGCATGCCGTCCAAACAGGTACTGCGGGTACCATATATTAAACCTGCCTGTACAATATTTGCATCCCGCGGGTGGGACTATTCATTTTTTCATTCATTCGTTATTGTACTTGGCAGATTAAATTGAATAGTATTGAGACAAATCATACACATACAAATGGGAAATATATATACACTCATTGATAATGTATGCTACTGTATATGCATCTACTGCAGTGGGATTCATGTACAGTAGGGGGTGGCAGGAGTTATGTTCAATTGATGATATAGTCAGTATTGAGCGATTTGAAATAAACAGCAGAGCAATTGTTTGCAGTGACTGATCTGTTCAGCCACTGAAATAGATTGCAGTAGCAATTATTTTCAGTGACTGATCTGTTCAGCCGCTGAAATAGATTGCAGTAGCAATTATTTTCAGTGACTGATCTGTTCAGCCATTGAAATAGATTGCAGTAGCAATTATTTTCAGTGACTGATCTGTTCAGCCACTGAAATAGATTGCAGTAGCAATTATGTTCCAAAATTACTTGGCAATACTTTCTCATACTTGACAGTTAGTCTCGGCTCACAACTGTCATATTCACACACAGCACCCATTATAGTGGTCAATTGCATGTAATGTATAACTGGCACTACACATAGACGGCGATCACAACAATTTTATTTATTGAAGGGTCAGCATGTATGCAATGAATTATTCATTTTGGAATTTGAACCAGCTTGCTAGAAAAATTAGGAAACGGGCTGCTGAGAGAATGAAAGTTACCAACATAGTGACGTTGTGGTAGCTTCTTTAGGAAGGTTGGCGACTGGTTGGCGACCAGTTAGCGACTAGTTCACACTGGTTCATATTTGGTTCAAGTTTGGTGCATACCGTTTGATATGTTGATCATTGCCTATCTGTCATTGCTCGCCGCCTCCCGCTCACTGACTTCCGCCTCCCGCTCATTGTTAGCCGCCTCCCACCCAATGTTCTTTATTACCAAAAAGTTCAGATATTGTTAGATTGAAAGTTTGAGCTGTTCAGTGCATGTTTACACTATTTAAAGTGTACTAAAAGGAAAGAAATAGGTTTTGTAAGGCAAAAAAAAAAGCAGCGGCAACGCGGACCGCGGGCATTAAATGGGCGCCTGTGTCAAACTCGTCGTGTAAAACAACGAGCTCAAGGAGTCAGATGGGGGCTGATTAGCATCGGACCCCCCGGAAATGTATTCTGACACTGTCATTAACCATTTCAAGGTTTCTTTTAGAATGAATATGTCCTGCTTGCAATATTATCTTATGGACTAGTTGAAATCAGCCTTAAAACTCGAGTGCATTGCATGAAAAAGTGAGCTGAATAATGTAGGAACCACTATCATGCCCTGAAAATATTTGAATCTCATCCATGCAGGTTATTCATCCATATATTCATCAGAAATATGATCTTTGGGGAACTTCAAAATGGATAGGAATGGTCAAGTTCCCTAGTTGAACCAATTTGTATTCTACGAGAAGCAGGAATGTTATGTAGAACTTTTGTATGAGTCAAATATGTTCCACCCCAATACAATGAAGTAAATATGTCATCAGCATGTGCACCAAAAGTTTGCTAAGATTATAGTCGCTCCTTCTTTCCTCAGTGCATTGTTACAAGCAGTGCACTCGAGTTTTAGGTCTGATTTCTATGGTCCCACAAGATATTACTGCAAGCAGGACATATATATTCCAAATAGAACCTTGAAATGATTGAAGACAGTGTCAGGATACATTTCCGGGGGGTCCGGTGCTAATCAGCCCCCATCTGACTCCTTGAGCTCATTGTTTTGCACAACGAGTTTGACACAAGCGCCCATTTAATGCCCGCGGTCTGCGTCGCCGCTGCTTTTTTTTTCGCCTCACAAAACCTATTTCTTTCCTTTCAATACGCTTTAAATAGTGTAAACATGCTCTTGACAGTTCAACCTCTCATTCTAACAATATCTGAACTTTTTGGTAATAAAGAACATTGGGCGGGAGGCGGCTAACAATGAGCGGGAGGCAGAAGTCAGTGAGCGGAAGGCGGCGAGCAATGACAGATAGGCAATGATCAACATATCAAACAGTATGCACCAAACTTGAACCAAATATGAACCAGTGTGAACTAGTCGCTAACTGGTCGCCAACCAGTCGCCAACCAGTCACCAACCTTCCTAAAGAAGCTACCAGCAGCCCGTTTCCTAAGTTTTCTAGCAAGCTGGTTCAAATTCCAAAATGAATAATTCATCGCATACATGCTGACCCTTTAAAAAATAAAATTGGTGTGATCGCCATCTATGTGTAGTGCCAGTTATACATTACATGCAATTGACTACTATAACAGGTGCCGTATGTAAATATGTCAGTTGTGAGCCGAGACTAACCCTGTCAAGTATGAGAAAGTATTTGCCAATAATTCTGGAACAAAATTGCTGCTGCAATTTGTTTCTGTGGCTGAACAGATCAGTCACTGAAAATAATTGCAGTAGCAATCTATTTCGGTGGCTGAACAGATCAGTCACTGAAAATAATTGCAGTAGCAATCTATTCCCTTCAGTCACTGCAAGTACTTCCCCTACTATGTATGACTGGTTGCTGATTATATCATTAATTGCACAAAGCTCCTGCCCTCTTACTGCACATGAATCCCATTGCAGTAGATACATATGCCATGGCATTTATATTCCCTGAGAATCTATGTATTTCCCATTTGTATATGTATTATTTTTCTCAATACTCAATTTAATCTGAGTCTAACATGAAATGAATAAAAAAATAAATAGTCCCACCCGCGGGATGCAAATATTGTACGGGCAGGTTCAGTATATAGTACCCGCAGGCCCTGTTTGGACGGCATGCCGCTTGATCTATATCTGCAATTTTCTGGGCTATCACTGCATGTACACTCATAAAACCTGTATGCTGTTCCCTTCAGATAATGAGACATTATGTCAACTTCACAATGTATTGGGACATTTCCATCCTCAATGTAACAACTTGTTTGTTTCACAAATTGCATAAATTCACGAGTATTCATAGAGCCACTGTATGCTGTTGGGGGTATTGGTTTAATATCCATTTTAAACAAGGGATTACACCCTACAACTTCAGCTGCATTGAAATTCTGGGTCTCAATTAGATGATGGGATTGACCGGCTATTGGCATGCTAAACATAGTTTTACCGAGCCGGCTATTTTGAGAAATGAAATCACTAGGACGATCTGCTTGCATGTGGGCTGTTGTCTGAAGAATGGTGGCCACTCAACTTGGATGTCACATTAACAATCCTATCGGCCATTGTATCAGACATAGCCTCACTCATTGCTCGGGGTGCTGTGCCTAGAAATGGTTCATCTGGAACATCTTCCATTTTAACTGAGGGCCGTTTGCGAGCTTGTTGAGCTTCAAGCTCTCTCGACGCTTTTACTTCAGCAAATCTGCATTTCTCATCCTCCTGCCGTTGCAAAATTGGCATCATTGAACCTGGATATCAGGCTTCTTCAAGCTATCCAAGATCTGCATTTGAACATCTGGATCCGCTTCATCAGGGTTGAGTTGTACACTTCCCCAATTCCTCGGATCAGCAGATTTGCCTTTTCCAGAAGAACTTGCCCCTTCTGTATTCTGAACAAAGTGATGGTGAGAAATCTGTTCCCGTTGCTGTGGAGTTAAATTAGCTTCAGCTTGTTGTATTGCCGCAATTTGCTCATGAGACAAATCAATCAAGGAATCATTCAAATTTTTATTAGTACAAAACTGTCTATTATAATCCATAGTTTCAGCAGACCTTCCTGCAACAGCATGGCCTCTTGGCTCAAGCAAATCAGATCCATTGCCTGAGGGACTGCCCTGGTCAGACCAAGTAGCAGGCCTCAACGGCGGCAAGGAAGCTCCCTCTGGGGTCTCGAGACTTGCTCAGACTGCTCTCCCTCAAAGGGCACATACCAGGGTAATTCAACCCTGACTCCAACTCAGAGTGACAAGACAAAGGAAGATTCTTACCTGGTGCTGTGGGTTTGTGCATACCCTCACCTGAAGTAGAACCTGTAGTAGACATAGCAAAGACAAAACTTTTACCAAAAATAACAGAGAATCTGAAGCAGAAAAAATCAGTGAGATTTCCAACAAAGCAAACCTTTGTATTGCAGAGACACCAGAGGAAGCTCAAAGTTGATCAGACTTGAGGGTACCCATAAGATGTCGAGACACGAAGATTGCTTGTCAAAAATATGCCGCGCAATGGTGACGGAGTTACAGAGAGTGCGGTCACAAAAGGGGAAGGCTTGCTGAGTTGAGTGAGCACTGAGCTTAGCATTCAGACGAGTGACAAGGTAAAGGTGTCGATTTAAGAAAGGTTACCCTAGCTCTATGTACTTGCTGGCTTAAATAGTAGTACAAGGGTTATGTAATGGAGAACTAAAAGGAGTTATTGATAAGATAAAGAAGGAGATGAGCGAATGAATGGTAAGTGAGCGGGAAGTAAGTAATGCAACAATGAAGATTGTGACACGCCGCTACAGCTGGTGACAGATAGCGTCACTATCTAGCGCCGGTATTAGTAATTCTGTGCACAAAGGCAATTTTGTCTCGTGCCTGTCATTCCCGCTGCCTGACCATTTTACTTGCATTTTACAGTTGTATTTTTGTCTTTTCAGCTAAGTCTTGTATGCAAAATTTATTGTACATGTAATAGATGTATTAGCATGTTAACAATAAAGAGTGGGAATTGAACCCAGGTCCCTGTCACTTTCCGGGGACAGTGCTCTAACCAACTGAGCTACTTGACCATTTGCATTCAATGGATGTGGATTCAATCTCAATCCAACACCAATGTCCCCCTTCGCCGATCCTGAGTTTGCATCTTGAAAATTTACCCTAAGGCTTTGAGTTCTAGGACAGCTTGCACTCAGCTCATGTAGCAATGTTCATTCATGCACTAAGGAGTCTTACAGAAATTTAGGTCTAGATTGGTCCCAAATTGAGAGTCATGGCTATATTTACATGCTATAGTATTTGAAGAATTGGGTGAAGTGCAATATCTTTGCTTCTTGATGAACTCAATGCACCGCAACTAGTGATGGGTGAATGGGAACTCAACACATGAGCGCTGAGCAAGCAAAATAATTCCAGATTTGGGTGCTCGGCAACTGGCACTTTGATACTGTTGAGAATATTCCAAATTTGGATTTTTATCCTGGGTTTTCGTGCATTAGCGTGAAGAAAAAGATGGCTTGTTCCTCAAAATTTATTGGAAAGATACATGCTCCCAATATAGAAGAGACTATTGGAAGCCCATGTCGGAGATATAGAGAGGAGACAGTAAACAATGAGCTCTCTCTCCTTCCTTCTCTTTTCCCTCTTTCCTTTTTCGGATTTCTTTAATTATTTTAATTATTGCCACCAGCATCAGTATTGAGCCCATGTTGAGGGACCACAGCCAAAGTTATTATTCTATTGAATATGTCCTGTCTTCACTATACTAAAGATTCTCGCATGCATACAAATGCATATCAAGTTTCTAAGTGCTCTGAACATAGTTTCTGAAGGGTATTGCTCTAGCGTCAGTATACGAAGGGGACGGGCATGATAATCTCCAACTGACAGGGACATCTGGGCGCATGAGTTTAAAGCGAACACGTCCCACCAGAGATGATTCGGGGGAAAGCATGTAGCACTGTCTTATGGATATAAATCCTCAGTCCAGGTATCTCGAAAGATTTACGGGCTACTTGCTCCACCTCAGTTCATCTAGAACATTTACTCTTGTTGTTGTACACTTATCATTCGTACATATTATGTTAACACTCGAGATGGTACCAGGGTACCATCGTCAGCTCCTCTCATAGAACAGAATTGCGTTCACGATCCGCACAATTCCTGTTCTTTTTTTTTGTTTCTAACAAGTAAAAATAGTGTTGTTCGGCCAAGTAGCCAAAGACTGTTTAATGGGATATCGATAGCATAGATTTTTGAGAGATGGTGGTGCGAGTAAGAAAATTCGCATTCTTTACAAATAAATACCACATTTTCGGTCTTCAGCTAAGCGGAGAATGGCGCAACGTGGCCTTTGAGACTTTGAGTCGGTCCTTCAACTCTCGATAGGAAAATGGACGCATTTCCTAGTGTATGGAAAAGTTTTAATATTCTCATTCTTTATTTAGCAAGTGCCTGTGCTACATTCCCAGATTAGGATTGTACACTGTCAATGGGCAAAAAAGATACCTGATATCTTGTCTGAACTCAGGAACCCCCAAAGTCTCCCTGAGTGAGTAACAATCAATGACCTAGGGCAATTGCAACTTTCACTACGTCCTTCCAAATTAATGCCAGACGAATTCATTATCTACTTCAAAAATGTACAAGGTAAGTGTTAATCGCTTGAACTAAAAATCGCCTCAGATATTCATATTCCAAGAGTGGTACGCGCCGAGTGCCATTTGTACATATTATGCTGACACATGAAGTACCGAAGTACTTTCTCAGATACCCCCCATGTAACGAAGAGCAGTTTTCACAATCCACAAGATCATGGTAGTTGATCCAAGTGTGTTCCTTCCCCACGTAGTATGTCCATTAAATCTTCATGAACGGAGAAGAGCGGCCTTCCTCGTACAAATTTTGTATCCTTCTCAAACGGTTCCTGAACTATTGTATGCGGATACCAATCGGTTCAGTGATATTTGCTTATTTGTGTTTACAGCCGTAGCAAAAAGGCCACATTTGCCCGTTCTGATATTAATCTACGACAAAATTGGAGGCGATAAATGCGAGGCAATTGTAATTGACGTAGAATAGAGATTCAATTACTCGGTACCCATAACCGTAGTGGTCTCCGCGAAATTGACTAATTATTTTGCAGTTCAAATCGACAAGAATGACAAGGCCCTAAGGCTTTTGCTTAAATGTTATCCTACAGAGAAGACTAGACCCCTTAGAAAACCGGTAATTCAACAAATTGGGTGGCAATTAGCTATTCCAATGTAATGCGGCATTCTAATTTTAGTTCAGGAACCCGCTAACACATATAGCGAGTGTGAATTGGGATGAATACTCTCCTATACCCTCCTACACCCTCCTTACTTACTGACTGGAACTAGACGGGGTAATCAGGACAAGGGCTATCCCTTACGGAGGAGTCCATGTACAAACAAATTATACCCACACTTGTCGGAGTGCGGAGAGGCTGAGTCGCGGCCACTGATATCCACTGATCAGTGACTTTCAGATTAGGCACAAGATATGTATTGATCTGTGGTTAGAATGGAGTAGCCATGGCAAGATCCAAGGTGACCCCTAAGACAAGTTATATTCCTAGCCTGTAATAAGCACCCTCCATGCTATTCATTGCCTGTTTATACAAGTGAGGGAACACTTATTCGGTCAGTTTATTCAATATTCTGACTTCCGACACCTTCAATTGTGTTCAAATGGATATGTTTGTGCTGAGCATTGGTATTGGGTAAGGCTACAGATGGGTTGATTTATGTTAAGTTATTCGGCCCGACTACGATTTCCACACTAAATCCGGCCTTACTCCTCCGTTCGAGTTTCAGTGGATTAATGTGGAAGGGAATGAGAGTGTCAATTGTAACTGTCGTTATTCCGTTATGCTATGGTCCATTTCAGGATCGCCGTAAGCTTTTGAGCACGGAGGTACAATACACAATATGCTTGCCGCATTTCCGACTTCTTCCTGATACACCAAAATGGTTTAGGCGTCCATCAGTTATTTTTCCTTTACTGTATGGAATCCATATAAATGCCGTCGCAAACCAAGGCAGATAATCCAACTTCCTTCACTCCCCGAAGCAAAGTTATTAACCATCGGTGTTTACCATCATCATGTTGTTCAAGTTTGCTACTATTTCCTCCGTCATCGTAGCTTTGCTCCTGAACACGTTGACTGTTGGAGCAGTCCCTCAATTTGCACCAGGAGGACAAGCTTGTAAGTTGATTTTCTTCAATCCCAGAGATTTTGTGTAACTGACTTCCTGGCAGGCTCGGGAGCAGGCGACGAGTCTGTGCGTCGGCTAGTTTTGCCAGGCTTCTTCATGAAATGTTACTGACTCTCGTCTCTTTGATGCAGTGCCCCAACGACCAACTGTGCTGCCACAACACGGGAGCTTGGGTGTGAGTATTTGGAACCAGATTAAGATATCTTCACCCTTACTTACGGGTGTTACTAGCTGCCAACCGAGTCCCCTCTTTTGTCAAGCTTTCACTTCCTGAAGATCTTGGTTGCGGACCGCATGTACTTCACTTGGGCGCGAAATGCAATTTTGTAAAAGAGTTGAATTCGTAGCATCTGTTGTACTAAGTCATCGTCATTCAATTCGGAATCGATGAAACATAGCTTTGAGAAGACACATTGCAACACGAAAGTGACGGTAGAGAACTGGATCAACGAGGGAATTTTGGAACATACCCATTCACTGAGTATAATATTTCGTTCCCGTCACTAATAGCAGGATCATTACATTAAGTCCGTGTGAGCTTATAGATTACTCATCAGGAGCAGGCCGAAAAAAAAAACCCCTGTGAATGAGTAGGAACGAATTTATGATTCCTTTGATTTACATAAATAAATACCTTGAAGTGCTACTTAGGAAAATCTAAAGTAGTATTACTACGAGAGTCCAGAGGACTCTTGATTCACAATGACAATGCGAAAGCTTGAGCTTTAGAGGCTCAACTCGGCTGTGAATTATAAGTATCTGTTATAGAGCGGAGAGTTGTATACCCTACATATGTATGTGATGGCACGAAGGGTTGAGAAAGGACAGATGCTCGGGAGCTGGGCAATGACAGAAGCCAAGTGGAGAATATAATTTAATCACCATAGGTGCTTCGGACGCTAAGGAAGGGTGGATGGATGGATCAATTTCTGCCTTGAAATGCTGATGACAATGAGATAAGTTATCCAATGTGTGCAGATGGAACCTGTTCACAGATGGTAGATGACATCCTCGGAACAACAAGGACTGATAGATAACTGAGCAAGACCAAAAAGATGGGTGGCTACGTGGTTGTCTTTGATCGGATCAAAACCGTTGCGGTAGCAGGATGCAGACTCAGAAACTAGCGTAAAAATACCGCATTTATAGTTCGAAATAATGCTGTAAAAAGCCAAGAAGGTAGGAGGGAAGAATCTCATGCAAGGATGTCAAAGAGCTTCTCTTCTCCGGGAATGCACACTTCACAATAGGGCGCGCGGCTCAAAATTCAAGCCTATTTAATTAAATTTTCTTAAGTAGTGCTCTTCAAGATATGTATTTTTGTAAACCAAAGGAGTCATGAGTTTGTTCCTGCTCACTCACATATTTTTTTTTTTGACCTACTCCTGGTGAGCGATGTATAAGCTCACGCGGACTTAATGCATTGGCATTGCTATTAGCGACGGGAAAGAAATATAATACTCAGTGAATGGGTATGCTCCAAAATCATCTCGTCCTGTTCCTGGGCCTCCTGGAATCTAAAGCCAAAACCCACCCGTTCCATACGACATAAGCAGTGTTTTTCTGCGTATTCCTTGCGTTTAAGATGACGCTTTTCAATCTTCGTTGACGGTCAGAAAGAATATGCTGGCGCAAAGAATCCAAGGTCCGAATTGTCCGTTCTCGGGTTTGTTGCAATGACATCGGGAAGGGAATTGCCAGTAGTTAAAATATCACGATCATACGAAAAACTGTATCGTTCCGCTCCAGTGGGATTTGAAGACTCGGGAACACCCAAGAAACTAATGGAAGGTTGAGGGTCTCGACCTGTCTCTCCGCTTTTGGTAGGCTGG